CTTAAATTTCATACTAATATATTATCACTAACAATTATAAATAATATTTGAAATTTTAATATTTTAATAAATAAATAAATAATTACATAATAATAGAAATCAAAATCAATCATTTTAGAGGAATGAAAAAAATTCAAAGACCAGAATAAGATATATATGTACATGTATAAAAAATTATAAAATTATTAAAATTGTAAGTACTGTTTTAGGTTAATAATTATAGTTACGCTTTACCTTTTTTTTTTTTTTAAGAAAAAGTACATCCCTTGTTTTTAGAGGAGAAAAAAATGTTTTTTTTTTATATCGCGATATTGATCCACGATTTTTATCTTTTAATTTTGTAGTTTTTTTTCTCACATTTTAAATAATTTACAACTTTTTTTACCAATAAATATTTATTTATTGATAATTAAAAATTATAACATTAATTATAATTTAATATTAAAAATACTATGATAATTAATATTTAATAATAAACTTAAATATATTTTTATTTTTATAAAATGAGTGAATTTTAATTTTGTTTCTTGAATATTTTTTTTTATTTTTCATGCTTTTAAAACTTTGTAAACATTATTTTTTATTTCTTTTAAATGAACAAAAATTAGTTTTTGTCCTTATAAAATATTTTTTCTTCATTTTCATACATCTAAAATTATTTTTGTCTATAATAATTATTTTAAGGTATAAAAATAACAATTATTTTAAGAATTTATAAAAAAAATTTAAAAGTGTCATATACGGACAAAGTATCATAAACATTTTTATAAATACTACTTAAAAAAGACTCTAATAAACATATAAGTAGTTAAAATTAATTATAAAGTAGGAATTAAAAACATAATTTCAAATTTTAGAGGATAAAAATATATATAAAAAAAAATTATCAAGACTAAAATCAAAATTTGCTTGTTATGTAAAAAATAAAAAAAACTTAAGTCTTAATAATATTTAATTCAAGTTAAAATTTTATTTGCCATTTTCATATATTTATGATTTTTACTATTTTGTAAAATAAAATAAGGAATAAAAATGTAATTTAACTTAAATATCATAATAATTATTATAATTTCAATGGTTAATAGATAAATATTTAGTAATAAGATTAAAATTGTGAATTTTATGATACTAAAGAATTAAAATTATGAAATTAAAAGTAAAAAGTCACAATCATAAATTGAATATTATAAAAAACAAATTAAAAGTGTAATTTAAAAAAGAAAAAAAGAAGAGTGAATCCCATGAACAGATATGAATGAGAAAAATGAAGAATTAATATATAAGTAGGTAAGGTTTAGAAGCCAAAAATAAGAAGTGAATATTATATAAGGATGAATAGAGTTATAGAATAGATGGTGGCCAATGACATGTGTTGTCTGTCTCCGATTCATCATAACTCATAACTGCTCCTTTCAACTTCTGCGTAATGTAAGAACCTATGCCCTACCTAGTAAGTTGTTGTATATATAGAGTCTCAGAATTATGACAATATAAATAAGATGACACTAATATTATATGATTGTGTCTCTATTTATAAAGGAATGATGACATATCATTCTCTATAGATTAATCTTCATAATGTTTTATAAAAGAAACACTGAAAAAATATTTATTATTTTAAAAATAAATATTGAATACTTTTATTTAATAAAGAGAAGGGTTATAGCAGCAAAATTGTTGTAAAAGTATTTATCAGAAAATATTACTGAATATCCTATTTTTCATAATCCTTCTTAAATAAAATGGACAACTGTAAGGTGTACAAGTTTGAAATTGACAACATAATCAAAATAGAGACAAAAATGATAAAAGACAAAGGACATTATAAATTAGCTCACCTATCTATTTTCCTGACACACAACCTTGTCTTGACCAAAGCTTGATAGCAACCTTTGCTCCTCTGATTTTTATCTACACAAATGTCTGTAACCCTCAATATATATTATTAGGTTATTAGCTTGTCAACATTAATATTTCTCTAAGCTTCATTCATGTGTATGTATATATTCATCAAACTTTGAAACTTGTATAATATGGTGTCACTTAGCTGTTTAAATTTTATAATAATGGGTGTGAAGAGGACATGGTAATGCAAATGGCTTTATAAATTGAGTACGTGAGAGATTATAATCTGCAAGCTTGTCTTTAAATGATTTACCCTATCGACTCTTGGTCAAATTGAAGATTTCAAATTTAGTTTTGTTTTGTTTTGCTCATATAGGAGGTTGCGTTTGGAGGGTAAGAAGGTGTCCCCCACCTTTGGTTCAAGTTTTCAACAGCTGAATGAATTTAGAGCATTTCATGTTTCAAAGAATATAAATGCTGGCCAAAAAGTTTTAAGAGATCAGTTTGTAACTAATATACAATAATTTTTTTCATTCAATAGAACATTATCATGCATAGTGGGTAATCTTATTCGAATTAGATAGAAATATTATGAATGATAAAATTTGTATTTTGAATATTTAACACAATTAAAATTATTTATTAAATTAAAACAATCTCTTACTAATTAATTTGCATATTGTTGAAAGAATGAAATGAAGGTGAAATTTATATATTCTTTTAATATAAAGGAATGTTCTAATTTTTAAGGTGCTAATTAATAAGATTAAAATAGTTATTTTATAAAACATGTAAAAATAAAAAAATTTGTTAATAATTAGTGTTTTTTTAATTAATATTTCTAGAGTTTTCATCAATAAAATCACTCTTGAATAAAATAAAGTTAATTTTTACATCAATAAAAATATTAAGTTAGTTATTGAATAATTTTAAAGGCATTATTCAATAATTAATTTAGAAAGAAAAGAAAATCATTATTATATAATAAAGTGTAGGAGAACAAAGTTTTAAAGAAAATATTAGCTTAATCAAATATGTAGATGAAAATTTTAAAAGGTTATAATTAGTCTCTAACGTAATAATGAAAAATATTTTAGTTTATTCTACAAGAAAACCCTCCCTCTTTCCAAAATTCCAATCCTTTCTTCTCTGTATGTTAAAGATAGGAATGTTATGAATAGAAGACTTTTTCACGACATTTTAAAGAATAAATTTGGAGAGAAGTTAATAAAGCCCGATAATGCTTAAGTTCATTCAAAAAGTAATCATATAATACAAATAATAACCATGTTTATGAAATTAAAAAAAATATATATAATAAACATAGAATATGCCTCGTTTGGAAAATCACTGCGATCATTATGTCAATATTGGTTATATTCACATTAGTTGGTAGGTTCAAGCTGTTTTTTTTTTTAATATATATAAAAAGATATAATTTCTTTTCATCGAATAAGTTTTTATATAAATAAAGTCATATTTTCGATTGTGACTATGTATTTATAATAAATATCAAATGTTTAATTAAGTAATTCAAATATTAAATCACTTAACTTGTAATTTTTTATTTAACCTTCTATAAGAATATATAAGAATTGTATCACGAGTGAAAGGGTTTAATTAAAGGCAAGAATTGAATTAAGGTATTTCAAAATATTCTCTTACTCAACTATTTAATGATTAATATGAATCAAAATATATCTCTTTTCCTTTTATCCATTTCTTAAGTTATAATTACCGCTCTTAAAATAAAAATTGAAGGGTCTACGATTTGAATTCTTCTAATAGAAAGCCATGGTAGTAATTGCTTTAGATCAATCAAGTTTTGGTTCCCAATGGGAAAAAAAAGAAGTTGATAGATAGATATTTTTGATAGATATTTAAAAAGGTTGATAGATAGATTTAACATCACTTAGCAAGAGTTGAAGAATAATAATGCTCACAAAAATATAAAGAGTAAATAGTTACACTATAAAGAAGTTTTAAACGGTCATTTAAATATAAATTATCATTTATGATAAATGTGATGAATTTTATTAAAAAAATAAGTTATAGTAATAATAATTTTTAATTAGTTGATAATATATCCTATTTCAATTTTTTTTATAAGAAATAAGTTATATTAACCGTTAGTAATATTTTTATATATTTTTTGACAGAACATAATTATTAAACTTAATTATAAAACATCATCTACAAAAATTTGTTTATTTAGTTATGATTAGTTTCGAGTTTTATTTATGTGTTTCCTTATTAATCAACCTATAACGTTGCTATATGCAGGGTAAATAATAAACACCAGATAATAGTAGGTATTAATATCATTAGAGAATTCAGTATAATGTTAATTTCATGATTACAATGTTAGACTTATTTAAAACTTAGTCTTATTCAGATAAACTCAAACAAAATATTTATCAAAAAAATAAGTTAAAATGAATTGATCTATAATTCTCTCATAACTTATGCTCCAGTTAAAGTCAATACATCGATACAATGAGAGAGATTTTATAAAATGATTTTTAAAGCTATCTTTTTCTTCATTTTTTCTTTTATTAATTAAAAAATACATTAACGTCGATATATTTTTTTTACTTTCTCTCTTCTCCTTTTTCCCTTACAAAGTTTTGATAAACCTATGTTTGCCCTGTTGATATATGTACAATCGCCTGATCACCTCTAATACTATGACACTGACCTATTGTTTAACTCAACGAACTGCATCCATAGACCATAGCCGTTGAAAGTCTGAAAAGGATTTCTCCTCTCTTGTCTCTTGAAAATTAGTACTTACTTAATCACATTGTCTCCGAAACGGACACATCTTTCATCTATTCCTCTCTCGATAATTTTTATTCCTATTTCCCTATATAATATGCTTATAGTAGAATAAGAAAATGGGTCAAACTGAGATATAACTTGTTGGTTTTTGAGGTTTAAGTCAGAATGATCACTCCTTGAAGGGCAATCCTCCGAAAACATTAAAAAAAAAAGCAAAATGATAATAAGTTGGAAACTCAGGCTAAACTTTCAGGATTACTAACAAAAAAGGGTTCATTCTTGTTTAATTTTTGTTCAGCTTTATGGGCTAACTAGTAACTACCACATTCTTCATGCACAACTGGCCTATCATCTACCTTCCTAGAAAGGGAAAAAGTGTGGTAACATAGGAGTGAAACATTAACGTGGCCATAAATACCAAGCAAAGTGAGATTCCATTGCATTCATCACACAACAGTAAACATTCAAGCAAAACCTCATCTTTTCCCTAATGGCCCTCTGGTTTATGGTTCTTCTTGCACTCTTTGCCATTGGTGAATCTCAGTCCACAACTTCATTCAACCAAACCGACCTGCAGGCAGCCATGACTGACATGAGAAGCCGGTCATACTTTGGATTTGTCATCCTCCTCAAAATACTCAACAGCCAACCCAACTCACTGCAAAACAACGATTTGACATTCCTAATGCCAAATGATGAAGAGCTATCTCATTTCTCAATAGCTCTAGACCAGCTCCATGATTTCATACTCAGCCATTCTATTCCAACACCATTGTTGCTAAGTCATCTATTACATTTTCCAAATGGCTCTGTGGTTCCCTCTAGCGTTCCAAGTAGGGTGATCAGCATCACCAACAGCGGCAGAACAGGCTTGTTTGTCAACAATGCAAGGATTGTCACACCAAATGTGTGCCAAAGCTCTTCAATAAGATGCCATGGAATCAGTGCTGCCTTGACATTTGACAACATGGTGCGTTTTCACAGAGCTCCAGAACCTAAGAATCATCCCCCAATGAACAGTAATGTGCCAAACGCATCCACATCTGTCAAAAAGATGAGTATGCAACCTTTACAGTAAGATAAAAAAAAATACTTGCCCTTCAGCTGTAATGTCTTTCCGTTTTATCAATAACATAACATAACATTTACTTTGTCTGCACAATATCTATTTGGCCTATAGTCCCGATCCGACCACAGAAGACATACGAAATAAGACTATAGTGCATCACAATGTTAAACATGTTGATCAACTAATTAGATTCCACAAATGAAGAAACAATCAATAATTTGTCACAAATGCATATTCATACATATACCACATAAACAAACCCAATTTCAAACTGATTTAAGTCATTAAAGCCTTTACTTACCGGTAACTCTTTCATCCACAAAGCTTACATTGTCATGAACCTAATGGAATTAGACCGACTCTTCATCAATTGTGCAACAAAATGACATTGGTTATAATATGTAGAAGATTATAACATACAACAATACTCATGGGTTTGGTCTAAAAGGGTGACACTCATTAGATTGACCATCTGCCTTGGGAGGAACACTATAGAGTAGATCATGGATTTTGGAATACATCAGCATTGAAGAGGGGTCACCACCACTACTGCTTTGTGATACTCGAGAAGTCTCCTGCAATTTGATCTTTTCATATAGATATTGCTTCTCAGCCTCAGCCTCACTTAATTTTTGCTTCAAATAGTTGCTAGTGTATTCTTCCTCTGATTTATCAGATTTGGCAAGAGCAATCCTCTGGAGCTGCTCAGCCTCTCTTTTAGCCTCGTTAGCCTTCAACTGGAACATATCGGCCTCTGCATTTTTAAGCCTCACAATTCTCTCTAGTTCTTCAATCTGTAGCTTCTTTTTTTGTCTGTCCATCTTCAATTCTCCCGCTTCTCTAGCCTTGTCTGCTAATTCACGATCACAAGTATCGAGAGCCATGCGAGCCTTCTTGAACATTCTCATCTTCTCATCGGCTACCATTTCCATCTTTCTTATAGCCTCATGCACCACTTCAGCAATTCTATTACATGCCTCCTGAGGGGCAATCATCCTACCACTTTCTGCATTTTCCAGGCTTTTTGGAGAGTCCAGTTCAAGTTCTTCACAAAATTAAAAGCATTAGTTTGAACAAAAAAAAAAGGATAATTAATAAATAAAAAAAAGAGTACTGGAATTAACTTAGTTGATTAAACGTTTTTTTAACAATTGCAAACCATCATTTTATTCCTAGATATGTTCAAATTCAGGTTTTAATGAAGAGAAAACAGGAAGCTTGGAGATAATTTCAGAATATAGTCTAAAAAGTTTTTTTTCTTTAATCATTCCAAACCCAGTTTAAATGAATTTTTTCAAAAACAATGCAAACCACAACAACGTTTAATTCATATTACATGCATGCACATGTGTGACGCAGAAAGTCAATAATCTGCCATATCATATAGCTGAAAGTGTAACGGACAAGTAGCAGAAGTTGCATTGCAATTAAAATATATGATATATATAAAATATATATGAATAAAACCATAAGTTGTAAGTAAATAAAAATAAAATGCATAAAAATTGACATAATATTAAAAATTCAATTAGTTAGAGCCTCGGAAAATATGACTAGAGGATGTATGATACATCATAACAGCCGCTATACTGGACGGAGTCTTGACGTGGATTAAAGGAATTTTGCAATGCAATAGCATTATAGCGCCGCTATTGCGACTATTTAATAACACTGGTGTATAGCCTATGACAAGAACTGGAAAACTACAATTTAGGTAAACTAGAAGGCTTGTACCTTGGAAAACCATCAATATTGCCCTGCATGCAGCCTTAGGTTCCACTTTTGCACTTTTCAATTTTTCCTTGAGATCATCACACTTCCAAAAGAGTTTCCTCCCCCGTGGGTCTTTACTACCATGAAAGATCCTACTGACGAAATCAAGTTCCCTTATCAAGGCTTCTCCATCCCATGATGGTGCACAATGCTGGAAGACATCCTTAACCCAACCCAGCAGTTCTGAAGTCCTGTTGCACGCTTGACACCTGAAAACCATTTCACTTGGCCCTGCTCCATTCTTTGCAGAAGGGCCCATACAAATAAGTTGCTCAAGAATGGCACAATCTGTGTGAGTCCAATGAGAACACAAATCACATCCAATCCAGCGGCAAGTATTTACTTCAAAGTCAAACTTGCTGCAGATAACACACATGCAAAGATTGCAGAAACCATTGCCGTTGGCACATGTCTCACAGGTACAATCATCGGCAGGAAGCTGGTTTTGGCAAGCTATGTTTCTGCATCTCTTATATACAAATATCTCAATAAGCGAAGTCTGCGAAAGACTGATGCTAGGATGCAAATACCCCTGAATTCCAGTATTTATGGCAACAAGGATTTCAAGCTGAACTCGATGTGCTCTTATCAATGTCTTGGCCGTTAAATCAGATCTACTCTGAACAAGCTTCTTCAAAATGAAAAATTCATCTCTATGCTGTGAGCCATTCCCCCCTTCAAGGATAACTCGAAGTCCATTTTTCAGCTCTTCAAGAAATTCTTCTGGTAGATGATGCATTTTCTCACATATTATATCAACTCGTTCCCTTGCAATGTCCTGAAGACTAATTTTATCAGCACTAGAAACACGACGAATAACAGACTGCTCAGGGCAGTCAATCTCGGCCTTTCCATTCTCCATCTTCTTCGCAGCGATTGCGTCGGCAGTAGGCCAAGTTTCTCGAGAACTGGCGCTTTCTGTAGGAGATTCACGGAGATTATCAGAGTTTGATCTCGGCTCCTCAGGAGAAAGGCGTGGATCTGAAGAAGCTAGAGATAGAGAGGTTTGCAGCCCTCCAACCCGTGACTGCTGTCGTGGAGGGAGCATTTCTTTTGATTCCAAAGGCTTCTGTTTTATGTTAGACCCTGGTGACCATACCCAAGAAAAAGATTTACTTGGTCAGTAACTAGTAGCAAAGGTGATTGATTATACCGCACATGATTATCACTCGTATTCTTTGTTATACTACAAATAGTAATATGTTAAAAAACATATAATCTGCTAACAGTTGCAGTCTTTCATCCTCTGCCCCCACTCCACATAAACCACCAAAAACGAAAGACAAGGCAAGTTGCAGAGGATTAGACAGAATATTTTTTCCACACACTAATGCCAAAAAATTGAATAAATCTGAAAAGGCTTACAATCGCAATCCGCACAATAATCAGAAGAAAATCCATGAGAAGAAAAATTAGACAGTTTAATATCATTATATCAGTGATTTCACTCTTGACGCTATTATGCAATCTCATAGAAATTCTCATGTCATAGAAGTAAGCTGATAAAATCAAACAACAGATGATAAGATAGAGATGCAACACACGAAGTTGACTTTAAAAGTTGCTGCAAACTGCAAAGGATAGGATGTTCGAAGATCGAAATTCACGCAATCACAAAGCAAAAACATTTAAAATAAAAATAAAAAGGAATTTGGATGAAAAGGAGAAGAAGGTTAGCACCCACCGGAGGAGAAGAAAGGTTATCGATCAGAGTATCTTGTTCGCACAACGCAGGTTAACAGAAAGAAAAGAAGAGAGAGAGAGAGAGAGAGAGAGAGAGAGAGAGAGAGAGGGGTTGGTTAGGTCAAAATAAGAATGCAGTTTTGACCATTTTACCCTTACCCGTTCGGACCGGGAAAAGACAAAACTGGCGAATGAAGACAAAATAGAATAATTGTTTGTTTTAAACTTGGGAAGTGGCAACTGGCAAGTGGGAAGGTGGTCATGTTTTTCAACCGTTGACCACCGTTAAACTGGTTTTTTTAGATGATCACTCAATATTTTAATAAATAAATAAGTAATTTAAAATAATTACAAAGTAATTAGGACTTAAAAACATGTATAAATAAAATATATTTATTTGTTTTTATTTTTGTAAATAAAAATAAAAATTACATGATATAAGATTAAATTAAATTTCTAAGGAAATTATTTTCGATTAAAGTAAAAGTACATATTTTAAAGATAACAATGATGTAATATAAGTATTTTCTAGTTTCAAATATAGATAAAAATATTTTATATTTAAGTTAATGAAGTTGTTTAGGTATTTTTTTTAAGTGTTTTCTTTAATTTGTTTCAAATTATTTAAAATTAAATCATAAGATTTATAAAAATATAATACATTAACATTTCTATAAATAAAAAAAACAAAGTGAAATTATAAAATTAGATAAATTTAATCATTAATAGAAATAGATATATTGTATATAAAAATTATTAATTTATAATATTTACAGTTTATAAATAATATTTTGAATAATTTAATATTAAACTAAATTCAAACTATTGAAATCAAATATTACTTAAAATAAAATATTGTTTAATTTGTAATAGATAATTTAAATTTCATTATCACTTATGTAAGATGAGTTGTTCTAAGTGTTTAATATTACTTTTGTCTCGAAAAGAAAATGTAGATTGTTTTTTTTTGTTTCCTTACATAATTATGCAATATTTTCTAATTATACAAAAGTATATTATCAGCCGTAGAAAAAAAATACTTGAAAGAGTAATACTTGTTAAAAAAATGGATCAATTTTTTATGCTATGGAATGATATAACATAAATCCATTTCAGTTTCAAATTTGAATATAATTCTATTAAAACAATCATTGAATAATTATATATGAGATTAAACAAATTATAAATTAGATCGATCAAATATCTCTATTCAAAATTTGATTAATAATATTCAATTTTTAAATTAATGAAATATTGTTTATACGAATAACCTTAATTATTTAACTTATGTTCTACTTCTAAGAACATTCTCTATTAAAATTGAAATTTACCTAACAATTATGAGCATTAACACAAACAAATAAATAATAAATTAAAAAAATTACTTAGTAACGTTCTTATTAAAAGAACTTCCAAGTATTGTTGAACTTATATTATTTTTAGAAAATTTCTTAAAAATACAATATGTACAGCTTCTAAATTAAATTATTTTGTACTTTTCAAATAAACTCAATTTGAAAGAGCTTTATCCTTTTGATGATGTGTGAATTGCATATCCTATTTTTAGTGTATATTAGGCTTATAAATATTAATCTTTAAATATCACACTACAATATTACTTATAAATATTAAGTTTTAAATATTAGCTTGACATAATAATGAAACTCTAATTACTTAACTATTTAGAACTTGAATCTTGACTTTTATATATTTAAAAAATTAATTCTCGTTCAAATACTTTCTTTAATTTTTACTAAAAAGAATACTTTCTTTAATGCTTAAAATATACATCCCTCTCGATTTTATCTATGACTAAAGTCTAAAGATGCCTTTTGACTCTTGTAATCCAAAACTGGAACATATAATTTTTTCCTACAGTAAATGACATGAAGACACAAAATAGTCCCAACAACAAAGCTTGAATTGAACCCTAATGTGCTACATCAACACCAGCAAGCAAACAGTCATGTTTTATTTGTGCCATCAACACCGTTTCTGTATTTTTACAAAACACACAATCCAATGTGAAAACATTGATCAATGCACAAAGCTTGCAAACCTATACAAGACATATAGAGTACCAATTTATTCAATTTCGTTATAGCATACAAAATATCTTCCCTAGAAGATCTAAGAAGTAAGAAATGAATCAGACCAAATGAACACCTAATATATAATCTTGAGGTTTTATCGTAGTAAGATCTCCAGGTTGCATTATCAACCCACGATTCAAATTGAAGAATGCCAACCCCACACACACGTAATCTTTGCATGAAACTACTATAAAGATGTTACGTACTCCGGTGCAATTATTTGCTTTGATGAAAAACCTAAGACACTCCGTGGTAACCAAAATGGTAACTAGAAACAATACACACGTATGAAAAATTGGCAAAATGATTATAAATAAATAAATAATTACTTACTTTATCCTTATAATACTTTCCTAAATTTTACAATTTTAACTATATATCTATAAATATAACGTTTTAGTTTTTATATAAGTAGTTTTTTTTAAATATTTAAATTCGTATCTTAAGTATTCATGTAATTCTATTAAAATTTTCATGATGTAGCCTATGTTAAATTGGTTCTTAAAATCAATAAAATAGTAATATAATCCTTTAATTTATAAATTAAATATTTAAAATTTATTTATAAAATATGATTTAAAATAATATGCTTTATTCAAATGGTATATATTTATATATTACAAAAATATTTTTCTTAAGATACACATTTATGTAAATTATTTATAGAAAATAATTATTTAAACCAATGTGATTTATAAGATGGCAAAGCTTACCAACCTGAACTATTCAGACTCGACCCACTATTAGTTTGTAAAAAAACAATTAAAGGTGGGTTAGTCAACACAACTTTTTTTTAAAAAAATAAAATAAAATAAAAGTTCACATATTGGTTATCTTCTTTGACGTATTTTTTTTTTTTGATATATAAAGAATTCACATAAATTAGCAGATCAAAATAATAAAATAAATATTAAATTACAAAAAATTTGATTTTAGCCTGTTGTATAATAAATTCCATCTCAAACTTGTTAAATAATAAAATAGATATATAATTATAATATTAATAACTCTTTCAACATATTTGTTATCCAAAAAATCATAAAACTACATATAATAAAATAATCAAATGCATAATATTACATATATAATAAATTTGATGTTATTTAGTTCAATTTAACATTAAAAATATTAAACAAAATCTATTTAATTCAACTTGTCAATTTTTTATCGCTTGTGAGTTCTGTCCCATTTTATCATCCTTAGTAGTTGAGGCATTATATATGTCTCTGTGTTTTTTTAAAATAAAATAAAATATAAAATAACCAAAATGAAAAATAAATGAAGAAGAACCAAAAAAAAAAATGCTAAGATAGGAAAATAGCTACTTGCAATTATGAAGGAAGAATCGTAGTAATGGTTCATGTAGCAAGAGATGAAAATCAAAATTTAAACTCAAGTCTTTTGTAGAATTAAATAAACTGGATAATAAAAAAATATTATTATGATATTAAGAGATAAAATTGACTTTTAAGAAATTCAGACTAAAACTTTATATCTACAATTATTTGTATACACTTTTTTTTTTATAAATATAAAAAATAGTTTGGTTATTAAATATAGTTTATTATTCTTTCTTCAAATTTAAAATTTATTTTTTTAATCTTATAATTTTAAAAAATAATTATTTTAATTCTTTAGTTCATCAATAATATAAAATGTTAAATTTAGACAAGTATAGAATATAAATTAGATTTAATATAGTGTTTGACTAACAAAATACTAAAATGTAAAATTGAATACAAGAATATTTGAGAGATATATTAACTTAAAATTGAAAAGAAAATCTATTTATAATTCTTAAAAAGACAAAAAGTTATAGAAATGGGTTTATTTATGGATGATTTGGTTTTGTAATGCAAAGGTGAAGGTGAATCCTTTGGTTTCAATGAGCTTATCATGGTCTTCTGCTATCTCCTCCTTCACCTCTTCAGCCAACCAGACCCCTCCAAAGGCACGGCGTCGTTTTGGTGTGGAATCGCTGAAGCGGAGTTCGAAAGCAGCGAGTGTGGGGCTGGTGAAGGACTCGAAGAAGGAGTTGTCACGCATTCTCCGAACCGAATCAGCCATCAGAGGCGTCGAAAACAAGGCCACTTCCTCCACCCACAGACAGCTATGGCCCAAGGCTCTGCTCCAAGCCCTCCACGACGCCATCAAACGATGTCGTTCCCACACCTCTCTCCAGGCCCGTTCCTACCCCTTTTTTTCATTTCTTTTGAGTGTGGTTTGTTTTTGCAAAACTAGGTTACTTTAAGTTTGAAATATGTAATTGGGTATGCCTGTATACACTTCTCGTAGAGTTTTATAGAAGAAGAAAATAACAAAGTGAATTTCAAGCTTTTTACAAGTTAAAAAGTAGTTTCAAGTTAAAAATTAGCTATTAAAGAAATTAATACGGTATGAATTAGTACGAGATAGTTTGCACAAATTAGCTTAAGTTGTGTTTGGCTAAGTTTAAGACAAATTTATCTATATGCAAACTAATTTTAACTTTTCAAAAATTTCTTTTCTTTTCTTATAGGTGTTTACGAGAAAATTTATTCAAATATGTATACCTGACTGGATTTTGTATTAGGCTGAGGAACATGACTGCAATTGATTTTATTTTAGGATTAACATTTGTGTTCAATTGTGTCTGAACTCTGAAATACGACTGATTTCCTTTTGCAGATATTTGCGCTTCTTCGTAAGCAATACTGGTATGAACCGCGATGTCAAACGTATGCAAAGCTGTTGATGATGCTTGGCAAGTGTAGGCAGCCTGAAGAGGCTTCTGTGCTCTTTGAGACCATGTTGTCTGAAGGGCTTAAACCTACTGTTGATGTTTACACTGCTCTTGTAAGTGCTTATGGTCAAAGTGGTCGTCTTGATCAGGCTTTTTCTACTGTTGAAGATATGAAGTCAGTTGTTGACTGCGAACCTGATATATATACATATTCTGTTCTTATCAGTTGCTGTGCGAAATTTTGTCGTTTTGATTTGATTGAACATGTTCTTGCTGAGATGTCATATCTGGGCATCCAATGTAACTCTGTGACGTATAATTCCATAATTGATGGATATGGTAAGGCTGGCATGTTTGAACAGATGGATAAAGCATTGAATGATATGATTGAAAACGACAACTGCCACCCAGATGTTTTCACACTGAACAATTTTGTTGGAGCATATGGAAATGCTGGGCAAATTGATAAGATGGAGAAGTGGTATGATGAATTTCAGCTAATGGGTATACAGCCAGACATAATGACATTCAATATGATGATTAAGTCCTATGGCAAAGCTGGCATGTATAAGAAGATGATGACTGTTATGGATTTCATGGAGAGGAGGTTTTTCACTCCGACAGTTGTAACATATAATACTGTCATTGAGGTGTTTGGCAAAGCTGGAGAGATTGAGAAGATGGATCAACACTTTCTGAAAATGAAGCATCTAGGAGTGAAGCCAAATTCTATAACTTATTGCTCACTTGTCAGTGCATATAGCAAAGTTGGACGTATTGACAAAGTTGACTCAATCATGAGGCATGTTGAAAATTCTGATGTAGTATTGGATACTCCCTTCTTTAATTGCATAATTAGTGCCTATGGTCAGGCTGGTGACTTAAAAAAGATGAGTCAGTTATTCTTGGCTATGAGAGAAAGAAAATGCGAACCTGATAACATTACTTTCGCGTGCATGATCCAGGCATACAATGCCCAAGGCATGACTGAGGATGCTCAAAAGTTGGAAAACCTGATGATTTCTGTGAAAACAAGCTTGGGTATGTCACTATGTTCAGTATGTTGCAATTTGTGCTACTTGTTCTTTGATCCGTTTTCCATGTTTTGGTCCTATTGTGATTGGTAGGAAATGCCTAATCTAATAAGCATTCATTGGTATTTGAGTATATGCAACTTTTGTGCTGAACAATGTTAGATGCCTATTAGTGTTAGTCTGTTGGTGAGATAGTTAGCTAGTTAGGTTGGGCTTAGACTGTTAAAGAAGTAGAAGTAATGTGAAAGTAACTAGTTATGCTTATGCGAGAAGGAATTTTTGTGGGGTCCAAAGCACTTAGACAGAGTTGTCATGTGAAAGTAGCAGTTATGCATAATAGGCATAAAGGGGGGACGGGTAGGTAGGTAGGTTGAGGTAGGTTTCTGTTTTGTATCTATGTTATTGAGGAATTGTAGCTGAGGCATGTTGGTGGAGTATGGTTTTCCCCCAGTTCTTGGGAGGCACACCATTTGTTCTCTTTTCCTTCATATAATTGTTTTCTGTAATAGTAATGACAGAGTTTTGCTTTTCACTAATTGATTCATTTTCCCTTGAATAATTTTTATATCATCAACATACCTTACCCAATACTTGATCCACAGGCGCTAAGTTGATTGGATGCTAGCATGGATAATTGGGATTCAAGACTTAGCAATTCTACTCAACATTTTCCATGATGATTTTGATTTGGAAAGATTTGAGAACTTCTGCAGGTAAGCATAGATTTCTCGCAAGTACATGGTGATTCTGGGGAAATTTTTTTCTTACCTTACCTGTCAATTTGGAAGCCATTTACTGTATTATGTTTAGGAAAATATAGCTTCCTTCTTTTATGCATATTAGTTGGATCAAACAGCCAATAAAGTTGCGGTAGGCATCCCTTGACCCAAAGAGGATGCCCATTCAAAAATAGAATTCGTTCTCTTGATGATGTTTTTTGGGGAACACCCTGTTTTGTTCTTTTCAGAGGAAGTTTGTTCTTTCTTGTTGGTTTTGTATTGAAATTCTATGTTTCGTTTTTTAAGATGATTCCTTTTCTGGTTTTCAATTTCATTAGTATAGGTGAATCTCCCCAAACATGGAAAAATTTTAGTCTGCATGTCACATTTTATCATCAGTTTCAATTGTATTATCATGCCTTTGTTTCGTTTTTTAAGATGATTCCTTTTTTGTTTCAATTGTACACGGTTGTTTATCATTGCCTGAAAAGTGAATCAGGAAGACTACAAAGTTTAGTTCTTAACTGGTTATGCATAGGTACGGTCTTCTGCATCATCATCCTTAAACTTTTCTGAATTTGGTAATTTGTGTCTGCCCTGCAGGGAATCTATAGATGATACAGCATTGGAGTGCACATTGCCCGAAGATTTAAAAAAATGTTGGGTTTATTTATCATAATCTGAAGAGTGGCTTCAATTAAATTCGTTGTCCGGAATACCATCATGTACGCTACTCAGTCAACCAATTGGGCTTCCAAGTTTGCATCAATGGTGGGTCTTTGTTTTGGTCAGGTGTTCAATCTTGAAGACAAACTATGATACCAATGCTTTGCAGTATATACAGCTCATACACACCTCGCTTACCAATGGATTGTAGTGCGACTAATGGATGGATTGGTGCAGCCCAAATTGCCAAAAGGCCAACACACCCTTTAACATTTTTCACTCGACATACTCTCTTCTACTTGGTGAAATTTATGTGGGTCCCATCAAATATGATTCTCTTTTCTCATGAGGTAGGTTTCATTCCTAAAGTAGTAGGACCTACATGAATTTTAACAAATAAGAAATAGTGTGTTAAAAAGAAAGTCCTCAAAGCAAATGAGTGGCACACCAACTTATTGCATAGTTTGTAAATATTGTATGAAGTTTAACAAAGTCCCTCGTTCGTGAATTAATCATTCACTTGAACGTTTTCTTACTACATCGTGTACCAATTTTTTGCTTTCTATTCAGGTAGGCTAAAATTCTTTGTTAATATTGCATCTCTTTTAATCGTAACGTGGCCGTAAGTCATCACCATTTGCTAAGAAAAACCCAATTCTATAGTCATGAATTCTTGAATAAGAAATTTGCCTCGGCTTTAACTTCGATTTTTTGGTGGAGAGGGCGGTAAAGATTGGTTTTTTACAAAATATAAATGCGTCATCTCAATATGGATCTTATAGAGGACAAAGGATTAATCTACTTATTGTGCTTTTAGCAAATACTGAGCTATAGTTTATAAGCTCAATTATCAAATTATTTAATTCAAACGCATGTGTTAACATGCACGTTTTTGGATTAATATCATTTTGCATGCTCAAAAGGATTACAATTAAATATTTATTTTCATCAATTTTTCTTCATAATATTCAGTTGTCTCTGAAACTGTGAGTACTGTGTCGTATTAGCCCTGAATAAAAAAAAAACAAGTCTTCGAAAATATAAACTGATGGTCACATTTATCAAAAATTTAAAAAAATGTATTACTGAAGTTATAATATTAAAACACATTTAGTAAAGTTTCACACTTTATTAATTTCAGTGGCTAATTTGACAACATTCTCAAGTTTATTTTCCTTTTTTTTACGAAAAAAGGCATGATTTTTCAAGCAAAAATAAAAAAGTACTTTTAAAGTAATATAAATATTTTATAAAAATGTACTCACTTTCTCTGCAATAGAAATTCCATCAATCTCATTTCCCTTTAACCGAAGACTGCAGAGTCTCCAAAGCAGAAATGTAATAATGTAAAATTTCATCAAGTTGACACCCACAGCCCAGTCCAATAGCCTACACCTCGCAGATACCAGAGATGCAGCAAGTCTTCCATTGTAACAATTCTTTTCCCAGATGCTGCCGCAGAACATATTATTATGGTATCTTTTTCCCAAAACAAAAGAAAAACTACTAATGTCACATGATACTCTATGATGCTGAATTTTTTTTTAACTAATTAAATGACAACGGAAAGGATCAACTACACATGCTTCCAGACATAGCAACACTACTGAATTCCTCAGGATATCTAGAAAATATAACTACCAATACCCATGTTCTTCGAGAATACGATTTCACTCGTACGCAGCGTTGAAAGAAAGAACAAAAGGGAGCGGGAACAAAACAAAAATGTCCGCATAACTGTCCTCTCTCATTTCTCACTTCTGACTGCCAGCCTCCGTAGGTTCAACCACCTCAGCTTCTACAGTTTCTGGGGAATGTGGCTGAGTTTCAGTGGACTGGAACTGACCAGGTGTTGACCATTTACCAGTGAGAGCCATACCCATCATCTCGTATATCTTCCCTCCAAGTTGAGCTGGATTATCAGGCTGCACACCAACAGATTCAGCCAAAAGATACAGGTTCAGGATTTCACAATGGAAAATTTAAATAAGATAATTTTATTTGAAGAATTTTAAATTCTTTAAAGTGTAATGATTTGTTTGAATAGAAAATTTTTAAAAAATTTGAAATCTAAGCATTTGTGAAATTTCTTAAAATAGTAAAATTTCAAATTCTCAAAAAATAAAAATAAAAATTTAAAATTTCTCATTTATTTTTCTTATTTCAACTATATATTTTATCTTATCTCTTCATTCTTTTAATTATTGAATATTCAAAAATATTTTTAAAATTATTAAATATTATCTAATATTAATTTTTAAAATCATTAAATATTTAAAAATTGATTTATATTTATTTTTATAAAATTTAATTGAAAAATCTCAACATATATATATATTTTTAAAATCAATTTTTCTATAGTAGAATTAAATTATCATATTCAACCTAACAATTTAAAATTTAAAAAATTTGAATTGACTTATCCAAACAAATTTTTTTAAAAATAATAAAAATTAAAATCAAAATAATTTAAATACCAATAATTTAAAATTTCTTGAATTTGTAAAATACCTCATCCAAACACATTATAAAAGACATTCATACCAATGAACTTACCGTGAAACCACTTGAAACCAAAGCAGCATCATACAAAAGATCAATGGCTCTGAGGGCATCTTCATCGTCGGGATTTGTTTTGAATGCAGCCTGAAAATTACCAATTAAGATTACATTACCATAATTTCATTCTGTAATCAAGACAAAGAAAAGTGGGGATTTTCTATCTATCATACATCCAAATTCCTGATAATAGAATGGTCAGGGTTGATCTCAAACACCCTTCTGCTCCTCATGAATTCCAAGCTGGATGCATCCCCCATACTTTGTGCCTTCATCAGCCTGCAGTTTGATTACATACTGTATATTGTTACTTGAACTTTCACAATACATCATTTTAATATGAGAAAAGATGACAACCTCTCCATGTTTGCAGACCAACCAAATTTTCCAGACGCCAGAACACAAGGGGAAGAGCTAAGCCGGTTTGAAATTTGCACACTTGCAACCTTATCTCCCAATCGTTTCTTGATCCAGTCACATGTTTGGCCAAATTCCTGCTTCATTTCCTTTTCCCTTTCCTCATTCTTATCACCTGCAGAAGCAACATGCTAAATATAACCGACTTTGAACAATAAAGAACCAAGCCACGAATTCACACCATCGTCAACATTAAGATTGGCTCAAAAGAGAGACTAACAAATGCTTGGTTAACTAAATGCCAAAACCATCGAATATGACGAGTAAGTGACCAATCAAATTATTGAAGGGATGTTAAAGAAAAAAAGTTAACCTAGATCCAAGTCTTCCTTGCTAATGTCAACAAAATTCTTTTCCTTGTATGATTTAAGGTTTTGAACGGCAACCTCATCTATTGGATCCACCAAAAACAGCACCTGAAAAATTACATAACCAAACCACCCATATATATAAATCGATAGAAATAAGTACTCAAAAGAAACAAAGTTATAAACTATAATAGAAACATGTTTATACTTCAATATCCTTCTCCGCAAGTCTCTCCAAGAAAGGTGTGTTCTTTGCACTGGTCACACTGTCAGCAGCAATGTAATAAATATCCTTTTGATCAGGTTTCATGTTCTCAACATATTCATCCAAGCTGATCAGATCTTCATCACTTTGGGATGAGACAAAACGAAGCAATGGAGCAATTCGTTTGTGATTCTCACGGTCTTCGATGCAACCCAATTTCAAGTGTTTACCAAAGTTCTCCCAGAACTTATCATAGTCCTGCATACAGAACATGTCAGCCATTAAAATACTAACAGGAAAAGGGCCATCTTTTTACAGAGCAGTTATATAAAAACTGAGGACCTAAAACAACTTATTAGATATATATAATGTTGATATTTCTAAGATAAAACCACCTTAATTTATCCTAGCTCCTCTACAACTTAAAAAGCTATAAAAGAAAACTGTGTACAATTAATAATTTTCAGAATAATAATATACCTCTCTGTTCTCGCTCATGGATATTCCCAGAATCATGTCAAAAGCTTTCCGAACTAAACGTTTCCTCATAATCCGCACCTTCAAGCACCACGTAGAAAAAAAATTAAGCAAGATGAAACTGGTAAGGAATTTTATACGTGTATCCTAAAAGAGAGATCCAGGAGTAAACTTCAGGGATGTGTTGCCCTCTTTACTTACTATGCGGCTCTCTTGAAGAATTTCACGTGACACATTGAGTGGAAGGTCATTTGAGTCAACAACACCTTTGACAAAGCTTAAGTATCGAGGGAACTGTTCAAGCAAGTAAACATCAGAGGGGAATAATACAATTAAGAGAACACCGTCTAGCTACTCAAGGTACTAAATAGCAAAAAGCTAATACCAGTTCTCCATCAAAGTCATCTGAAATGAACACTCTTTTCACGTATAGTCTTATATTCTTGGTCTTGGGATTGATTATGTCATCCTTCCCTGACGGAGCAAAGGCAGGAACATAAAGTATAGATCTAAATTCTACCTCACCCTGCAAAAACAAACATCACCAGCACATTTGTCAATAAAATAACCAACACAATATTAGCTGTCAAATAAACACAATGAATCTCCTCTGAAGTCTGGAGAAAATTTGATGTTATCAAGCTATGTTTTCTAGTTGAACTTTGAATTTTCATTTACAAATAAAGTATCTATCCATTACACACAAGAAGATGGCACTTAATAAAATTGTTACCTCTGTGGTAAAGTGCGAGGATGCTAATGGTTCCAGGTATTCATTAAAAGTTTTCTTGTAGAATTCGTTGTACTCCTCCTTTGTGACTTCCTTAGGATTACGAAGCTGCATAAATAGAGTAATGCCACAATCTTCATTCAAGTAATAATCTGATATAAGTGAAAGTCATGGAATTGGAAATCATATAACTCACCCAGATTGGTTGGGTTTCATTTATCAGCTCCCAATCCCAGTACCGCTCAACAACAGTTTTAGTTTTCTTCTTTTTCTGTCAACAAATTGTCAAAAGTCACAAGTCAATGAGTACATTTGCAGCAGCAACACATTCACATATATTAAAAAAAAAAAAAAAAACTCGATTCAGAATATATACAGAACAATCAGAATATTACCTCAGTCTTCTCATCTTGATCATCCTTTTTGGCTTCAGCTGGATCCTCATCGACTTCTACCTGGAATGAGCCCGAACTTCAATAAAAGCTCAAAAAGCCTACTTTACAATCTAGAGTGGAATAAAATTAATGCAAAAAGTAAATAATATAGTCATAGATAGTGCTGTCAAACTGAAAAGATCTGGACTCTAGCCATACTTCTTTGGTGTATCCCTTTTCCTGCCAAGTGTATATAGGGAATGAGACAAATTGTGAATAGTTTTTCACAAGCTTCTCAATCCTCTCTGGATGTGCAAAACCTTTGTCATCCCTCTGAAAGATAGCAGTGGGTGTAATGAGATCACATGTAAGCTCTGGAATAAAGAAAACTAAAATAATTACTTGATGGTCAAAATTGGGGATTATCAACAAACCTTAAGATGTAGTGTAAGGCGAGTTCCTCTTGGAATCAGCTTCTCAGGATCTGTCTCTTCAGTTATGGTATATGAGCTAGCAT